TGGTCCCAGGGTTCCATTGTGGAGAAAACAAGAACAGACCCACTGCCTCCTCATGTCATATAGGAGTCAACTAATTGGGGGCTTCCTTTGAAGTCAGACTGCATCTGCCTGAGAGGTAAGGAACCAACAGTTTGCATAAAAATAAATGAGACCTGTAAAACAGATGTACACAGAGTTCAAGTTCTTGAACAAAACCTGAGTCAAGAGGTTGATGAACACCCAGAACTTTCTGCCTGAATTTACAGCTAGTTTATGCCAAGAATAAGAACCTGTGACCTTCGGGCCTGAGTTGAGCGTCTAGCCACTGAGCCACAGTAGTTTCCTACAGGAGAACAAGATCATTATGATGAGAACTGGACAAGTTTGTTTATTGACAAGTGTATTTACTGACAAGTGTGTTTACTGACAAGTGTGTTTACTGACAAGTTTGTTTACTGACAAGTGTGTTTACTGACAAGTTTGTTTACTGACAAGTGTGTTTACTGACAAGTTTGTTTACTGACAAGTTTGTTTACTGACAAGTTGTTTACTGACAAGTTTGTTTACATGGACATGTTTGTTTACATGGACATGTTTGTTTACTGACAAGTGTGTTTACTGACAAGTGTGTTTACTGACAAGTGTATTTACTGACAAGTGTGTTTACTGACAAGTGTGTTTACTGACAAGTTTGTTTACTGACAAGTTTGTTTACTGATAAGTGTGTTTACTGACAAGTGTGTTTACTGACAAGTTTGTTTACTGACAAGTTTGTTTACTGACAAGTTTGTTTACTGACAAGTTGTTTACTGACAAGTTTGTTTACATGGACATGTTTGTTTACATGGACATGTTTGTTTACTGACAAGTTTGTTTACTGACAAGTGTGTTTACTGACAAGTTTATTTACTGACAAGTTTATTTACTGACAAGTGTGTTTACTGACAAGTGTGTTTACTGACAAGTTTGTTTACTGACAAGTTGTTTACTGACAAGTTTGTTTACTTGGACATGTTTGTTGACTTAGACATGTTTATTTATTTGGACATGTTTGTTTACTGACATGTTTGTTTACTGACAAGTTTGTTTACTGACAAGTGTGTTTACTGACAAGTGTGTTTACTGACAAGTGTGTTTACTGACAAGTTTGTTTACTGACAAGTTGTTTAATGACAAGTTTGTTTACTTGGACATGTTTGTTTACTGACAAGTTTGTTTACTGACAAGTTTGTTTGCTGACAAGTTTGTTTACCTACAAGTTTGTTTACCTACAAGTTTGTTTGCCGACATGTTTGTTTACTGACAAGTTTGTTTACTGACAAGTCTGTTTACTGACAAGTTTGTTTACTGAAAAATTGTGTCTGGTCTATTCTTTTGGTCTAAAGTAAATTCTGGACAAACAGTTATGACATGGTCAACCAACTGGATACAGGGTGTGTAAGATGTGACACGTTCACTCAGCACCTCTGTCATTAAAGGACAAATGAAATTTCTGGGGCATACCAATGGAGGCGGCGGAACAGAGACAACAGCTGTATGTGGGGAAACACAAGGCAAGAGAGCAGAGGAAGACACATATGAATATACATGGAAAAATTCAACAGCTGAGCAACAAATAATATAAGTAACAATTTCATCAAACTACTGGATGGCTACAGAAGTGCACAGACATGATCTCCATCATCTGCACCAAATTATGCACCTCAGGAAGTGGACTCCGTGACCAAGTCCGTGTCTACTTCTAGGAAAACTGAAATTCTAACATTTCTCTTGGGTCAGTAACATAAAAGGACTGTTACAGAAACTTTTGAAATTGTAACTGAAGTTCTGATTTGTACTGAGCACTGACAGAACTGGAAGCAGGTGGCAGGCAGACGTCATGCTGGGCTGTCTAGCATCAGCACATGCACAATTATACATGGTTTCAACAAACAACCAAACAAACATGCAGACAAACACACACACGGACAGGGTCCTACCTTGTAGCCCTTGCCCGTAGACATGTTCATCACCTGCACCTGACTGCGACTGCTGCCAGTCTTCAACAGGTTACGGTCAAACATACATCAATACCTCATATCCATACTTGTTTATCTCATACATGAGCACATATAGAAAAAAATAAGTCAATATTGACAGGTCCCTGTATGTCTGGACAACTATGTCATCAGTGACAGGTCCCTGTATGTCTGGACAATGAATGTCATCAGTGACAGGTCCCTGTATGTCTGGACAACTATGTCATCAGTAACAGGTCACTGTATGTCTGGACAACTATGTCATCAGTGAGAGGTCCCTGTATGTTTGGACAAAGAACGTCACAAGTGACAGGTCCCTGTATGTCTGGACAACTATGTCATCAGTGACAGGTCCCTGTATGTCTGGACAACTATGTCATCAGTGACAGGTCCCTGTATGTCTGGACAATGAATGTCATCAGTGACAGGTCCCTGTATGTCTGGACAATGAATGTCATCAGTGACAGGTCCCTGTATGTCTGGACAACTATGTCATCAGTGACAGGTCCCTGTATGTCTGGACAAAGAACGTCACAAGTGACAGGTTCCTGTATGTCTGGACAACTATGTCATCAGTGACAGGTCCCTGTATGTCTGGACAACTATGTCATCAGTGACAGGTCCCTGTATGTCTGGACAATGAATGTCATCAGTGACAGGTCCCTGTATGTCTGGACAATGAATGTCATCAGTGACAGGTTCCTGTATGTCTGGACAACTATGTCATCAGTGAGAGGTCCCTGTATGTCTGGACAACTATGTCATCAGTGACAGGTCCCTGTATGTCTGGACAACTATGTCATCAGTGACAGGTCCCTGTATGTCTGGACAATGAATGTCATCAGTGAGAGGTCCCTGTATGTCTGGACAACTATGTCATCAGTGACAGGTCCCTGTATGTCTGGACAATGAATGTCATCAGTGACAGGTCCCTGTATGTCTGGACAACTATGTCATCAGTGACAGGTCCCTGTATGTCTAGACAACTATGTCATCAGTGAGAGGTCCCTGTATGTCTGGACAAAGAACGTCACAAGTGACAGGTCCCTGTATGTCTGGACAACTATGTCATCAGTGACAGGTCCCTGTATGTCTGGACAACTATGTCACCAGTGACAGGTCCCTGTATGTCTGGACATGGCCAGCTCCAGTAAGGCCGTACAACTGAATCACGGCACATTTTCGAGGAGTTCCCCCTCGAAAATAGGTTACTGCAAGCGTTTCCATGTTGCATTTAGTGACATTATAATATGCTTACAAACTTCTGTGTTCTGATTGTATTCGTATTACAAATCGACAAGCGGATATTGTAAAGTGGACATACAGGCTGTTAGATTACAGCAATTTTAATTGTAATTCACGGGAGACAGTCATGTTGTGATGTGTGTGTCAGTGTCACTGTTTCTAGTCAGTAGTTCTGATTTTTGGGAACTGGCTGTTTATTACTTTTCTACTTTAAATGTAGAAATGTAACTTTCAGGGATAATACAAACAGGTAATTTAGAAGCCATATCTGGAGAATATCGACACTTGTCAGGTGCAAACTATCTTGTGTTTGAAGAAAACTATTGCTTTCATATTGACTGTGCATAAATGGTGCAACCACACTGTGGATAAATTGCGTCAAGATATTTCGGAGCTTTAGGTAAGTGGATGAAAATAATATTTAATTTACTAACTAACTTCTCACAGCAAGTCACTCTTTGCCTCTTTACTAATTGTTGACTAACAGTATAATTATATGTTTGTTAATTTTTGTAAACTGGCTCTTGCTTTGCTTCGCGAACACTGGCTGTAAACTCTTGCGGAAACTTCTGGTTGCTCATCCACTTCTTTTGCATATTTACAGTTCTACGGTCTGTTAATTTTTGTAAACTGGCTTTTGCTTTGCTTCGCGAACTCTGGCTGTAAACTCTTGCGGAAACTTCTGGTTGCTCATCGACTTCTTTTGCATATTTGCAGTTGTACGGTCTGTGTTAATTTTTGTAAACTGGCTTTTGCTTTGCTTCGCAAACACTGGCTGTAAACTCTTGTGGAAACTTCTGGTAGTTCATCCACTTCTTTTGCATATTTGCAGTTCTACGATCTGTGTTAATTTGTGTAAACTGGCTTTTGCTTTGCTTCGCAAACACTGGCTGTAAACTCTTGCGGAAACTTCTGGTTGCTCATCCACTTCCCTTGCATATTTGTTACCAAAAAATCCGCAATGATAAGGAATTGATTTCATCCAACAAGATGAAACTGGACAAATTTGTTTGTGCTGTTTGTACCTTGAGGATACATATTTAGTAGTGCCATATGTACTGTTAAGAAAACTATTCTGGGTGAAAAAAGTATTGCACATATCAATTTCATACTGATTGTGCTTGTTTACTGATTATTAAATAACAGTATAATTATATGTTGTAGTAGTCTACTAATAATATTAATAACCATCAATCATTTATATTTATGTTATGTATGAGATGTGTATGTTTCATAGCAGTATTTTTATGCGCTAAATTTGATAAAGTACAAATGTCACACCCCCCCCCCCCCCACCCCACCCCGCTCCTCTGATGCAGCAATACCCTCTCAGAATCAAAGAGTTAGCACTGATATTTCTTTACTTTTGCTAAAACAACTTTTAGTTTACATCTAAACGTTATTGATGTTTATGTTGACTGTAGCAAAAGCATTTTTGTTTGTCTGTAAGAGCCTTTATTGTTATATTTAATTGGCACACTTATTTACCTTAAAAATGACGTATAGTTCTAAAAAATATGTCGATAATCATTGAAACTGTAGTTTAATTTGTGTATACATATCCTCGATAAAAACTGTGGACGCAGAGGGACTCAATTCTTGCACAAGAACGGGAGTTCCCGTTCGAGCTGTACGGCCTTATAAATCTGGAGCTGGCCGTGGTCTGGACAACTTTGTCCTCAGTGACAGGTCCCTGTATGTCTGGACAACTATGTCATCAGTGAGAGGTCACTGTATGTCTGGACAACTATGTCATCAGTGACAGGTCACTGTATGTCTGGACAACTATGTCATCAGTGAGAGGTCACTGTATGTCTGGACAACTATGTCATCAGTAAGAGGTCCCTGTATGTCTGGACAACTATGTCATCAGTGAGAGGTCCCTGTATGTCTGGACAACTATGTCATCAGTGACAGGTCCCTGTATGTCTGGACAACTATGTCATCAGTGAAAGGTCCCTGTATGTCTGGACAACTATGTTATCAGTGAGAGGTCACTGTATGTCTGGACAACTATGTCATCAGTGACAGGTCCCTGTATGTCTGGACAACTATGTCATCAGTGAGAGGTCCCTGTATGTCTGGACAACTATGTTATCAGTGAGAGGTCACTGTATGTCTGGACAACTATGTCATCAGTGACAGGTCCCTGTATGTCTGGACAACTATGTCATCAGTGAGAGGTCCCTGTATGTCTGGACAACTATGTCATCAGTGACAGGTCCCTGTATGTCTGGACAACTATGTCATCAGTGAGAGGTCCCTGTTTGTCTGGACAACTATGTTATCAGTGAGAGGTCACTGTATGTCTGGACAACTATGTCATCAGTGACAGGTCCCTGTATGTCTGGACAACTATATCATCAGTGAGAGGTCCCTGTATGTCTGGAGAACTATGTCATCAGTGAGAGGTCCCTGTATGTCTGGACAACTATGTCATCAGTGACAGGTCCCTGTATGTCTGGACAACTATATCATCAGTGACAGGTCCCTGTATGTCTGGACAACTATGTCTTTAGTGACAGGTCCCTGCTAATCTGAACAATCTTTGTATCGAGAATGAGAATTATTGCTCTGAGAATTTCTCTCAGGATAGTAGTCTTTTACTAAGTCCAGACAGTCTTTGATTCATAAGAATAAATACCAACTTGAAGTTTGTGGAAGTCTTAACAGTAGATGCTGTTAATCGGATGTCAGATCTTCACTTCATACATGCAAGGTCAAATGAGGTGACCAATTCCCATCCTTTCCAAACAATCTCAAAAAAACTTGTCTAGAGATAACTAAACATAAAACCATGGATGCACGGCAAGGATACAACAAACATGTTATTGTTGAGTGGCTGAAAGACACAACACAGCAGCTCCGAACCCAAGCTGTCTATGATCACCCTCATGCAGGTTCCTGCAGCAACATCCCATAGACGAGCGGTACCATCCAGTGACACAGAGAGTATGACATCGTTGGAGAGAGACCATACAAAATCTGATGACAGAACAAGGAATCAGTTACATCAAATATTTGACCATGTGTCAGCTCTGCACTTACTGAAGCCCCAGTCAAACCGATGAATGCCCCCATTGCTGCCCCTACTTGTCCATGAAAAGTTAGCTACGTTTCCTTTACAGAATGCTGCAGAACTAACCCTAGCACTTTTTGGATGTTGTGGTTTTTCTAGGCACATTTATGGTCAGTTGTCTGCCACTGCTTTCTGAACGGTCGATTGTTGAGATCACTGTTGAAATCAATGCAAGACGGTCTGCTGCCAAATCGCCTGCAGCTGGGATCAAGCCTGTTACCCTGGCATTAGGAAGCATGTTCGCAATGCCTAAGCCACAAATGCCAACTTCCTTGAAAGCCAAATGGTAAACATTAGGATATTCCAGACAGGTCTGTTGAGATGGGATGCCTGGAGATCAGGGCTTTTTAACATTTTATCAGGGACCAAAATGCTGACCACAGAGAAACCATCAATACAACACGTCTGGCAATGATCCATGGGTCACTTCCCAGGCTTCTGCAGGCCGGTTTTGCCCACTTTGAGTCACCAGTTGAACAGCACTGCTGTAGATGGATCCCATGCAGACAGAACAATGATGATGACATCACTACTGTGAGGCAGTGCAGCAATCCGTGAAAGCATCTGTGCAAGCTAAGCCAGCTCATAAATGCTGGGATGTAGTAGGATACTTAAGCTGAAAGCTGCCAACAGTTCAGCCGGGTTACAGACAACCACAACACAATCATGCTGTAAACCAAACAATAAACAAACCACAAATAAAAAGAAGACAGTTACTGGAGTAAATATTAGAAAACAAACATATATGTAATTTAAACTCAGCAGCTAATTTACATTATTTTTTTTAAACATTCAGTAAGATACAAACTAAAAGTGTTTCTTTAGAGATACAGAAAATCTTGACATGAAATATTACCTGTGACCCCCGCACTGTGACCTCTCAACATACAGATGACAGTGGCGGGAGGAGGGATCACCTGACAAATGGACAGAGTGCCATCCAGGGAAGAGCAGGCCACTCTAGACTTGTCGTCATTTGCAAACTTCACACGTGTCACTGGAGGCAGATAGACAAGGTTACTTCAGCATGCACTTCGTCATCATGGAACAAGATCAACTGACTGACTGTCTGTGTGTTTATGGAGAGCAGAATGAAGTGTGTGGGGACAAAAGTGAAGTCTGTGTGTGTGTGGATATATATATATATGTATATATAAGGAGAATGCAGTGGGGTGAGAAAAAGGGTGAAGTGAGTGTGTAAGGAAACTAGCTCAAAGACTCATTTTCTCAAAACACACCAGGCACATGATGCTAGTCAATATTGTTTAAACCAGCTGAAAGCACGGACCTGGCAGGGATTTGGGCAAGTCACTGTACCTCTTATGTTATCACCTCCCACAGGATTCCATTTCACCTCCCTCAGATTTCCACATCACCTCCCTCAGGTTTCCATGCCACCTCCCTCAGAATTCCATGTCACCTCCCTCGGGATTCCATGCCACCTCCCTCAGAATTCCATGCCACCTCCCTCAGAATTCCATGCCACCTCCCACAGAATTCCATGACACCTCCCTCAGGCTTCCATGCCACCTCCCTCAGATTTCCACATCACCTCCCTCAGGCTTCCATGCCACCTCCCTCAGAATTCCATGCCTCCTCCCTCAGAATTCCATGCCACCTCCTTCAGAATTCCATGCCACCTCCCTCAGGCTTCCATGCCACCTCCCTCAGAATTCCATGCCACCTCCCTCCGGTTTCCATGTCATCTCCCTCAGAATTCCATGCCACCTCCCTCAGAATTCCATGTCACCTCCCTCAGAATTCCATGCCACCTCCCTCAGGCTTCCATGCCACCTCCCTCAGAATTCCATGCCACCTCCCTCAGAATTCCATGCCACCTCCCTCAGAATTCCATGCTACCTCCCTCAGAATTCCATGCCGCCTCCCTTAGAATTCCATGCCACCTCCCTCAGAATTCCATGCCACCTCCCTCAGGCTTCCACAAGAAGACTCCAATAAAACAGAGGTTAGTTTTGGATTCTAAAGTCCTACCTTCGGCATCCCTGTGTGGATTCAGTGGGTCCCATTGTGGGGAAAACAAGAATAGACCCACAAACTTCCCAACAAGCATGTCATAACAGTTGACTAATTAGGGGTTTCCTTCAAAGTGCATCTGCTTGAGAGGCAAGGAAACAACAGTCCGCATATAAATAAGTCAGATCTGTAAAAGGGTTGGGCACACAACACTCAGTTTCTGGAACAAGTCCAAAGTTCAGAGGTGGATGAACAACCAAAACTTTCTGTCGGAGTTTACAGCTGGTGAACGTGAAGAAGAAGAAGAAGAAGAAGAAGATACCTTCGGCAGAGTGCTGATCAAAGATGTGATGCATGCCTGTGAATGCATAGTTCTCTGATAAGCTTTTCCCTCCAGCCATGGCTCTGTGGAACACAGTAAATCATCAGCTAATTTGGCTCACAACTTATCAGAAATCTGGCTCACAATGGAAACTAGAGATGTTGGTCAGTTTAGACAGTCATGTCCTTCAACAGCCATCTGTGTCTGGTCAAGTTCAACAGCTGACCATGTTCCACCCAGCCAACCCAACAACCATGCAGCCATCCCATTTATCATCTGTGTCTCTGTCAACTTCTGTCTCTAATACAACTGAAGTCACCAACATGTGGTTTGGTTAAAGAATGTTGAAAGTATCTGGCACAGCCAAGATAAGGCCATTTCAATACTTGGAAAGAGGCTAGCAACCAAAGACAACATGTCACAAATATGAGACAGATATGGGCACAAGTGACAGAGAAAGGCAATAATAGAAGATCCTTAGCAGCCTTTCATCACAACAAACCTGATACATGCAAGACAGGGAAAAGCACGTAGTCAGGCTGTCGTGCACACAGGCAACCTGATACATGCAAGACAGGGAGAAGCATGTAATCAGGTTGTCGTGCACACAGTAAACCTGATACATGCAAGACAGGAATAAGCCCGTAGTCAGGCTGTCGTGCACACAGGCAACCTGATACATGCAAGACAGGGAGAAGCATGTAGTCAGGTTGTCATGCACACAGGCAACCTGATACATGCAAGACAGGGAGAAGCATGTAGTCAGGTTGTCATGCACACAGGCAACCTGATACATGCAAGACAGGGAGAAGCATGTAGTCAGGTTGTCATGCACACAGGCAACCTGATACATGCAAGACAGGGAGAAGCATGTGGTCAGGCTGTCGTGCACACAGGCAACCTGATACATGCAAGACAGGGAGAAGCATGTAGTCAGGCTGTCGTGCACACAGGCAACCTGATACATGCAAGACATGGAGAAGCACGTAGTCAGGCTGTCGTGCACACAGGCAACCTGATACATGCAAGATAGGAAGAAGCCAGTATTCAGGCTGTCGTGCACACAGGCAACAAAGAGCCATATTCACCTTGCTTCCATAACAGAGAAATCTACTGTACTCATCTGACAAAACCAGGCCCAGTGTGTCAGCCAAGGACCCCTTTGACACCCTGGTGTGTGCTGGACATTCTGGTGCAAGCCTCATATTTTTAGACAGACTGGACTTTGATGTGGCCAAGAGGCCACCTTGACTTCCCAGGATACTGACAGGCACCTATATTTGGCTGCTCAACCTGGGAGCCTTGCTCAAAGAAATCTTACCTCAACACAAGAATAATTAGGACACAGATATTTCCTTGAAAACCAGTGTTAAGTGTATGTGCGTGTATACATGTATGTTTGTCTACATGTAACTGTTTTCACACAGTTTGTGTGTGGAAGTGAGAGAGAGAGAGAGAGAGAGAGAGAGAGAGAGAGAGAGAGAGAGAGAGAGAGAGAAACAGAGAGTGTGAAAGAGTGAGAGAGAGGGTGACAGTATATGTGTGACTGTGAGAGAGAGAGTGAGACAGAGTGAAAGATAGAGTGTGAGACAACGAGTGGAAAAAAAACGAACGAACGAACAGACTTAATTTTTAAAAGGTCAAAAATTGGGCACACACATTTTACATTCCGCCCTTCTATTCACCTATCTTTCACACAGGAGTTGTATTTTACTAATAAAGCATGTTATGATCTTATGATGAGAGATAGACAGAGAGTGTGACAGAAGGATGAGAGTGTGACAGACAGGGTGAGAGAGACAGAGAGTGAGAAAAAGGGTGACAGTGAAAGAGACAGATAATAAAAGAGAGACAGATAGTGAGAGAGAGACAGTGAAAGAGATAGAGAGAATGAGAGTGACATGGAGAGTGTGTGTGAGAGAGGCAGAGGGGGTGAGAGTGAGTGAGAGTGAGTGTGAGAGATAGAGAGGGTGACAGTGAGAGACACACTGAGAGAGACAAAGTGAGAGAGAGAGAGAGAGACATAGTGAGAGAGAAAGAGAGAGCCCTGACCTGCTAGCCTCTGCCACACTTGTGGGCACCACCTCGATGCTGTCATAGACGTACTTCATGGGACCCTCGTAAAGATACTTGAGGGAGCTGGCGCTCATGTGCCGTCGGTGGTGGTAGAATTTCCTGCTGTCGTTGGCTCCAACCAACATCGACTCCAGGCTCTAGCATCAGACACACCATTGAGAACAGGATGTGGCATTTGCATTCAACACAAGAAAGATGGCAACATGAGTCAGTCTGGGTTTGTGTATTAGAAAACCATAAAGGACCATTTTCATCTCACTAGTTCATCAGGCATGATGTCAGACATATATTTGTAGTGACCACTGGATAAGTGACTTATGGTCATTATTACGCTAACAGCCTTGACTTTTCCAGTGTGCATTATCGTGAGTGAATATGTGTGTGTGTGTAAGTGTGTATTAGTTGTATTAGTGTGTGAATATTAGTATCTGTATGTAGTAGTGCCAGTGTTTATCAATGTGTGTGTGTGTGTGTGTGCGTGCATGCGTGCGTGCGTGCATGCGTGTGTGTGTGTGTGTGTGTGCGCGCACGAGTGTGTGTGTGTGTGTGTGCGCGCGCGCGCACGCGTTTGTGTGTGTGTGTGTGTGTGTGTGTGGGGGGGGGTGGGTGGGTGTCTTGTTTGTTCATGAACAAGGTTGTATGATTGTGCACATAAGTAGGCACATAACCACATAAGCAGAGTTCTCTGCGAGGTCATGGAGGAAGCACTCGATGAGTGGTTCTAGCTGGGAATCAAACAGGCATCAATACCGAACATCCTCGTGTGGATTCCAGGGCCCTCTTGTAGAGAAAACAAGAATAGACCAACTGCCTTCCCAAAAGCCTGTCGTAAAAATTGATTAATTGGGAGCTTCGTTTAAAGTTGGAGTGCTTCTGCCTGAGAGGCAAGGGACCAACAGTCTGCATATAAATTAGTCAGATCTGTAAAATGTGTGTGCATGCAACACTCAGGTCCTGGAACAGGACAGCAGTCCAGAAGTGGACAAACAAACAGAACTGACCGCCAGAGTTTACAGCTGGTGAACGCAAAGAAGAAGAAGAATACCAAACACCTTGTCCTTGTGGGTAAATCTTTTTAACGTATGTTAAATGTTGAATCAAGAATCAACATCACAGCACACGAAACACTCCCATAAGAGCCCTGTCCCCATCTTCAGCAGCAATTACAGTTCCGATTTTGATAGTATCAATAACAGTCTGATTCTATATCCATTTAATCTTTCCCTTGAGTCCTAAGCATCTGCCAAATGCCCTGGTCACTGCTTGCAGCACCATTCTCTCCAGACCATAATCATTTATTTGTGCTATCTTCGCTAAACACTTGAAGGTGAAACAGCCAAAATCCTGTTAGGTGACTTTACTTCTCAGCTCAACCAATCAGCTTTACTGTTGCAGGCCTGAAGATGTCTCTGTGGGGTTGTGGACACCCACACATCAAACATGTATCTCTGTGGGGTTGTGGACACCCGCACATCAAACATGTAACTCTGTGGGGTTGTGGACACCCGCACATCAAACATGTATCTCTGTGGGGTTGTGGACACCCGCACATCAAACATGTATCTCTGTGGGGTTGTGGACACCCACACATCAAACATGTATCTCTGTGGGGTTGTGGACACCCACACATCAAACATGTATCTCTGTGGGGTTGTGGACACCCGCACATCAAACATGTATCTCTGTGGGGTTGTAAACACCCGCACATCAAACATGTAACTCTGTGGGGTTGTGGACACCCGCACATCAAACATGTATCTCTGTGGGGTTGTAAACACCCGCACATCAAACATGTAACTCTGTGGGGTTGTGGACACCCGCACATCAAACATGTATCTCTGTGGGGTTGTGAACACCCACACATCAAACATGTATCTCTGTGGGGTTGTGGACACCCACACATCAAACATGTAACTCTGTGGGGTTGTGGACACCCGCACATCAAACATGTATCTCTGTGGGGTTGTGGACACCCGCACATCAAACATGTATCTCTGTGGGGTTGTGAACACCCACACATCAAACATGTATCTCTGTGGGGTTGTGGACACCCACACATCAAACATGTATCTCTGTGGGGTTGTGCACACCCGCACATCAAACATGTTTCTCTGTGGGGTTGTGCACACCCACACATCAAACATGTTTCTCTGTGGGGTTGTGGGCACCCGTATAGCAAACATGGATCTCAGTGAAAATGCTATGGTACCAAGTTACCAAAGAATGGTTAGGTAAGCCCCTAACTATACAGTGCAGACCTGAAAAGGAAAACTCACTGGAGAAATTCGTCTTATCCAGATTGTTGTTCTTAACAGAAATATGCCACATCCAAGAATGCTTTAAGCAGTCTGCGAGCCAGATCCAACAACAAACAGATAAGCCGCAAGTTCACAGCCAAGACTAACAACAAACAGACAAGCAGCAGGTTCACAGCCGGGACTAACAACAAACAGACAAGCAGCAAGTTCACAGCCAGGACTAACAACAAATAGACAAGCAGCAAGTTCACAGCCAGGTCTAACAACAAACAGACAAGCAGCAAGTTTACAGTCGTCTAACAACAGACAGACAAGCAGCAAGTTCACAGCCAGGACTAACAACAAATAGACAAGCAGCAAGTTCACAACCAGGACTAACAACAAACAGACAAGCAGCAAGTTCACAGCCAGGACTAACAACAAACAGACAAGCAGCAAGTTCACAACCAGGACTAACAACAAACAGACAAGCAGCAAGTTCACAGCCAGGACTAACAACAGACAGACAAGCAGCAAGTTCACAGCCAGGACTAACAACAAACAGACAAGCAGCAAGTTTACAGCCAGGACTAACAACAGACAGACAAGCAGCAAGTTCACAGCCAGGACTAACAACAAACAGACAAGCAGCAAGTTTACAGCCAGGACTAACAACAAACAGACAAGCAGCAAGTTCACAGCCAGGACTAACAACAAACAGACAAGCAGCAAGTTCTCACCCCAGGAATAACAACAAACAGACAAGCAGCAAGTTCACAGCCAGGACTAACAACAAACAGACAAGCAGCAAGTTCACAGCCAGAACTAACAGCAAACAGACAAGCAGCAAGTTCACAGCCAGGACTAACAACAAATAGACAAGCAGCAAGTTCACAGCCAGGACTAACAACAGACAGACAAGCAGCAAGTTCACAACCAGGACTAACAACAAACAGACAAGCAGCAAGTTCACAGCCAAGACTAACAACAAACAGACAAGCAGCAAGTTCACAGCCAGGACTAACAACAAACAGACAAGCAGCAAGTTCACAGCCAGGACTAACAACAGACAGACAAGCAGCAAGTTCACAGCCAGGACCAACAACAGACAGACAAGCAGCAAGTTCACAGCCAGGATTAACAACAGACAGACAAGCAGCAAATTCATAGCCAGGACTAACAACAAACAGACAAGCAGCAAGTTCACAGCGAGGACTGACAACCTACAGAAAAGCAGCAAGTTTACAGCCAGGACCAACAACAGACAGACAAGCAGCAAGTTCACAGCCAGGACCAACAACAGACAGACAAGCAGCAAGTTTACAGCCAGGACTAACAACATACAGACAAGCAGCAAGTTCACAGCCAGGTCTAACAACAGACAGACAAGCAGCAAATTCACAGCCAGGACTAACAACAGACAGACAAGCAGCAAATTCACAGCCAGGTCTAACAACAAATAGACAAGCAGCAAGTTCACAGCCAGGACCAACAACAGAGAGACAAGCAGCAAGTTTACAGCCAGGACCAACAACAGACAGACAAGCAGCAAGTTCAAAGCCAGGACTAACAACAGACAGACAAGCAGCAAGTTTACAGCCAGGACCAACAACAGACAGACAAGCAGCAAGTTCACAGCCAGGACTAACAACAGACAGACAAGCAGCAAGTTCACAGCGAGGACTAACAACCTACAGACAAGCAGCAAGTTCACAGCGAGGACCAACAACAAACAGACAAGCAGCAAGTTCACAGCCAGGGCTAACAACAAACAGACAAGCAGCAAGTTCACAGCCAGGACCAACAACAGACAGACAAGCAGCAAGTTCACAGCGAGGACTAACAACCTACAGACAAGCAGCAAGTTCACAGCCAGGACCAACAACAGACAGACAAGCAGCAAGTTCACAGCGAGGACTAACAACCTACAGACAAGCAGCAAGTTCACAGCGAGGACCAACAACCTACAGACAAGCAGCAAGTTCACAGCCAGGTCTAACAACAAACAGACAAGCAGCAAGCTTACAGCCAGAACCAACAACAGACAGACAAGCAGCAAGTTCACAGCCAGGTCTAACAACAGACAGACAAGCAGCAAGTTCACAGCGAGGACTAACAACCTACAGACAAGCAGCAAGCTTACAGCCAGGACCAACAACAAACAGACAAGCAGCAAGTTCACAGCCAGGACCAACAACAGACAGACAAGCAGCAAGCTTACAGCCAGGACCAACAACAAACAGACAAGCAGCAAGTTCACAGCCAGGGCTAAGAAGAAGAAGAAAACAAAGTGTCAACAAGCTGTACTCACTTCAGTGTTTCTTCCAATACTTCTTAAACTAAACGATCTGCTCTTGATGCTCCTGTTCAATATTTAAAAAAAAACAAAAAAACAATAACATTAAAATCTGTTTCCAACAAAAAGAAAACTTTACAAATACCAAGATACAAACACTGAATAAACACTTTGGTTAACACAATAATAACAATAAAATACAAATAATAATAGCCTCTTTAGTTACAAGAGACTGTTGATCTGCCTTCCAGACTGAGATTTTGTAAGCTCAGGGTGGTCAAATCTTCGAGTAGCAGCCGAAGGGGACAATCACACAAAGGAAAAGCAGATGACTGCTAACAGAAAGGAAAAATTCCAGCTGCACAGTGTTGCTTCTGTTGGCTTCCTTTCTCGAGTTCAAAACTCGTATTTAGATGTACCTCCACATAATGCTAGAAACCATCTCCTCCTGGGCTGTTGTATGTCTGGCATGTCTTGTTGGTATGTATCTTCTCCCTAGTCTGTGACTAACACTGTCATGTCTTGCTTTTATGTATCTCCTCAAATACTAAAAGCCATCTTCTCCCTTGTCTGTGAGCAACACTGTCATGTCTTGCTTGTATGTATCTTCTCCCTAGTCTGTGACTAACACTGTCATGTCTTGCTTTTATGTATTTCCTCAAATACTAAAAGCCATCTTCTCCCTTGTCTGTGAGCAACACTGTCATGTCTTGCTTGTATGTATCTTCTCCCTAGTCTGTGACTAACACTGTCATGTCTTGCTTTTATGTATTTCCTCAAATACTAAAAGCCATCTTCTCCCTTGTCTGTGAGCAACACTGTCATGTCTTGCTTGTATGTATCTTCCCCCTTGTCTGTGAGCAACACTGTCATGTCTTGCTTGTACGTATATCCTCAAATACTAGAAGTCATCTTCTTCCTTGTCTGTGACAAACACTGTCATGCCCAACCAGAGTCCCAAACCAACATGTTCTGGTTGCTTCATTTGCAACCTACTAGGAAACACTAATAGAAGTAAGTACTAACCCTTGATCAGAAAATGCTGGACTTCCATAGCGTGCATTAAGAAGCTGGGCTCGCAAACGAAGATATTCTTTTCTGGATGTGCCATCTTTCTGTTGAAGTAGATAGAAAATTTAATCCTTCCAACCCTGATACCAAAACAATCAAATGTCATTATTTGTGAAAAATAAAAACATGAATATAGAATCAGACCTTTAAATTACAATTTAAAATAACAAAGACCATGCCAGTTGTCACAAGTTTATCTACACCAGCAACAGCTTTTACACATTATTCATCCTTGTATGTAATCTACACAAAACATCTCAACTGGGAAAGAGAACTGGTCTTCTGACATAATTATGGTGTAACCTAGTATAATGATGGTGAAACCATTCACATATCTACCGTATATGTGTTGTGTTTTTGTATTGTTTGCCCATCACAAGTGATGAGGACCACACTTTCTTTCATCCGTCACAAGTGATGAGGACCACACTTTCTTTCATCCATCACAAGTGATGAGGACCACACTTTCTTTCATCCATCACAAGTGATGAGGACCACACTTTATTTCATCCATCACAAGTGATGAGGACCACACTTTCTTTCATCCCCCATTTAGTCAACATGTACAACATGATGTCCCAATTAGTTGACTCCTGCAACATGATGCCCTCAATTAGTTGACTCCTGCAACATGATGCCCCCAATTAGTTGACTCCTGCAACATGATGCCCCCAATTAGTTGACTCCTGCAACATGATGCCCTCAATTAGTTGACTCCTGCAACATGATGCCCCAATTAGTCAACACCTACGACATGATGCCCTCAATGAGTCAACTCCTGCAACATTATGCCCTTAATTAGTTTACTCCTGCGACATGATGCCCCCAATGAGTCGATTCCCAATACATGATGTCCACAATTAGTCGATTCCTGTGACATGATGCCCCTAATTAGTCGACTCCTGCGACATGATGCCCCTAATTAGTCGACTCCTGTGACATGATGTCCCCAATTAGTCGACTCCTGTGACATGATGCCCCTAATTAGTCTACTCCTGCGACATGATGTCCCAATGAGTCGAATCCCAAGACATGATGTCCCCAATTAGTCAACTCCCAAGATATGATGTTCCCAATTAGTCAACTCCCAAGATATGATGTCCCCAATTAGTCAACTCCCAAGATATGATGTCCCCAATTAGTCAACTCCCAAGATATGATGTCCCCAATTAGTCAACTCCCAAAATATGATGTTCCCAATTAGTCAACTCCCAAGATAATGATGTCTCCAATTAGTCAACTCCCAAGATATGATGCTTGTTGGGGAGGCAGTGGGTCTATTCTTATTTTCCCCAACATGTCACCTAAGTTGGCAGGCTTTATTGCTTTCTAGTCAGTACCTCATTTTTGGCATGTTCCCTCAGCAACTGACTGCGCCTGCGAATGTACAGTGTACCTAAGGGACAAATGAAACAATACAAGCGTTAGCTTCCTTCACAGTTAGTTTATAAACATTTTACTAATCATGCAACCATACAATATTGCAAGAACAAATGAAACAACACAAGAGTTATCTTCATTCACAGTTGCTTTATGAACAATATACTAATCATGCAACCGTACAATAGTGCCAGGATAGATTCAATAAATTTATTAACATTTCATTGAGCCCTGTCATTTCACATTTGCAGGTTTCTGATGACATGTCTTTGACCAGTGGCCACTACACCTGTATGATAGCTTTGACCAGTGGCCTCTATGCCTGTATGACAGCTTTGACCAGTGGCCACTACACCTGTATGATAGCTTTGACCAGTGGCCACTACACCTGTATGATAGCTTTGACCAGTGGCCTCTATGCCTGTATGACAGCTTTGACCAGTGGCCACTACAACTGTATGACAGCTTTGACCAGTGGCCACTACACCTATATGATAGCTTTGACCAGTCGCCACTACACCTGTATGATAGCTTTGACCAGTGGCCACTACACCTGTATGATAGCTTTGATCAGTGGCCACTACACCTGTATGATAGCTTTGATCAGTGGCCACTACACCTGTATGAAAGCTTTGACCAGAGGCCACTAAACCTATATGATAGCTTTGACCAGTGGCCACTACACCTGTATGATAGCTTTGATCAGTGGCCACTACACCTGTATGAAAGCTTTGACCAGAGGCCACTAAACCTATATGATAGCTTTGATCAGTGGCCACTACACCTGTATGATAGCTTTGACCAGTGGCCACTACACCTGTATGATAGCTTTGATCAGTGGCCACTACACCTATATGAAAGCTTTGACCAGTGGCCACTACACCTGTATGACAACTTTGACCAGTGGCCACTACAACTGTATGATAGCTTTGATCAGTGGCCACTACACCTGTATGAAAGCTTTGACCAGTGGCCACTACACCTGTATGATAGCTTTGATCAGTGGCCACTACACCTGTATGATAGCTTTGACCAGTGGCCTGTATGATAGCTTTGACCAGTGGCCTCTACGCCTGTATGATAGCTTTGATCAGTGGCCACTACGCTTGTATGAAAGCTTTGACCAGTGGCCACTACACCTGTATGATAGCTTTGACCAGTGGCCACTACACCTGTATGATAGCTTTGACCAGTGGCCACTACATCTGTATGAAAGCTTTGACCAGTGGCCACTACACCTGTATGATAGCTTTGATCAGTGGCCACTACACCTGTATGATAGCTTTGACCAGTGGCCACTACACCTGTATGATAGCTTTAACCAGTGGCCACTATGCCTGTATGACAGCTTTGACCAGTGGCCTGTATGATAGCTTTGACCAGTGGCCACTACACCTGTATGATAGCTTTGATCAGTGGCCACTACACCTGTATGATAGCTTTGACCAGTGGCCACTACACCTGTATGATAGCTTTAACCAGTGGCCACTATGCCTGTATGACAGCTTTGACCAGTGGCCTGTATGATAGCTTTGACCAGTGGCCACTACGCCTGTATGACAGCTTTGACCAATGGCCACTAAGCATGTATGACACCTTTGGTACTACAGGGCAGACTGCTTAAGGCGATCTCGAATGTGACAAATTTCTGTTGTGAAATACAATTTGTTTATCCACTGCGCATTCTCTTGTTTGAAATGTTAACTGGATAAGAGGAATTTCTGATAAGAAGAATTATTTCTTGTGTCCATATTGAGTTCTCCTTATCAGGTCTGCACTAGAGTTACAGCATCACAGTGTGCAGACATGGTGGCAATAAATATATTTACTCAACAAACATAACACATTTCTTGGGTCCCTAGTGAGTTTTCCTTATCAGGTCTGCACTAGAGTTACAGCTGCAGTGTGCAGACGTGGTGGCTATGATTACATTTACTCAACAAACATAACACATTTCTCCTTCTCTTCTTCTAGTTTCTTAGCCAAGAGTTTCAATGAATTATACAGATGCATTAAAATAAAATAAATTTAGAAAACAATAAATTTTTAAAGACCTTTCCAGGGTAAATGGATAAGAAATACAATGTATATTTTCTCGTTAATGTGCATACATCATAGCTGACAGAAAATTTACAAATGTCGTGTTGAAGCTGACAGAAAATTGACAAACATAGTTCTGATAGTTTTGAAACTAAGAACATGTTTACATGTGGCACTGAACTGAGCCACTCTAAGTGAAAGCCATAGGGAAAAGGTCAGGTGTGATCCTGAGTCACTCTTAGTGAAAGCCATGGGGAAAGGGGAAGCTACGAACATGAGTCACTCTAAGTGAAAGCCATGGGGAAAGGGGAAGCTATGAACCTGAGTCACTTTAAGTGAAAGCGGCAGCTGTAATCCTGAGTCTAAGTGAGAACCATAGGGAAAGGGGCAGCTGTGATCCTGAGTCACTCTAAGTGAAAGCCATGGGGAAAGGGGAAGCTATGAACCTGAGTCACTCTAAGTGAAAACCAAAGGGAAAAGTGGCAGCTGTAATCCTGAGTCACTCTAAGTGAAAACCACAGGGAAAAGTGGCAGCTGTAATCCTGAGTCACTCTTAGTGAAAACCACAGAAAAGTGGCAGCTGTAATCCTGAGTCACTAAGTGTAAGCCCCAGGGAAAAGGGGCAGCTGTAATCTTGAGTCACTCTAAGTGAAAACCCCAGGGAAAAGGGGCAACTGTAATCCTGAGTCACTAAGTGAAAACCACAGGGAAAAGGGTCAACTTTAATCCTGAGTCACTCTAAGTGAAAACTACAGGAAAAAGGGGCAGGTGTAATCCTGAGTTACTCTAAGTGAAAACAATGGGGAAAAGGGGCAGTTGTAATCCTGAGTCACTCATAGTGAAAACCAAGGGGAAAAGAGGCAGCTGTAAACCTGAGTCACTTTAATTGAAAACCACGGGGAAAAGTGGCAGCTGTAATCCTGAGTCTAAGTGAAAACCACAGGGAAAGGGTCAGCTGTGAACCTGAGTCACTCTAAGTGAAAACCACGGAAAAGGGTCAGCTGTAATCCTGAGTCACTAAGTGTAAACCCCAGGGAAAAGGGGCAGCTGTAATCCTGAGTCACTCTAAGTGAAAACCATGGGGAAAAGGGGCAGCTGTAGTCCTGTGTCACTCATAGTGAAAACCATGGGGCAAGGAACACTTATTAATACTATGGTCTTGCTGGTGACATCAGAAGGATAAACAGACAGATCATGAAAAGAAATGGAGTATACCATTCAGTGTTCATAAAAACAAAAAGATATATAGGCATCTACAACAAATAATCATTGGACAGTCTAATCTTTTGTATGCTACTAGGAATAATAAAACTGGACGGAACCAGAAGAAAATGTTTACTACATCATCTATTCAATACCCCTACAATTAGAAACTAAAATCCCCCTAGAAATTTGTGTTAACATTTTGCATACCTTGGGTAACCCCAGAGGTGTACATCAAAAACCCTCTGTGAAAGTTTAAAGAGATTTACCATGAACAGTTATCTTATATTTTATTCTTAGTGTCCCAACCGGTTACATACTTTATGCTTAGTATGAATGCAACTAAAATGTAATATTAGGCTATCCTCCGAATAACAGTCCCAAATTATCGAGGCTAAGAAAATACCTTAAAAGGGCCTCAATGCTTGTGACTGTGCTGCCAGGAAACTGCCCTAAATATTCAGTAAACAATGCGCCACTAGTTAGTCCATGGTAACGTCGCGTCTGCGTAAGTTCTATCCATAACCCTTCAATCGATAGTGTCACGGTTCCGCAGTTGTGACAGATTCTGGTGGTGGTGTTGTAATTGCAATACTCCTGGCCCTAACCCTAACACCTAGGGGAGACGTTAAACCTAGGACCCAGTAGAGAAGTTAAACTCAGCACTCAGTGTCGGAGCTGTTGACACCCTCAATGATTTGGGGCCATTATTCGGAGGAGTGTTTACCGCAGTATGCAGTATATTTGCCGGAAAGACGTCCAGAATTTACATATGATTGAGGCCCTGTTAGGGTATTTTCTTAGCTTTGATAATTTGGGGCCGTTATTCGGAGGACAGCCTAATATTAATTAATTGGTATCACCCCCACCCGCAACAAACAACAATTTTATGATTCAAAATTGGCTGCCATAATCTATAAATATAAAAATCAATGTTTGCGTGTTTGTTTATGAGCTAGAGACTCTGAAACTACTGAACCGATTTAGCTGAAATTTTCAGGATATGTTTGTTTTGATACCGGAATTTTACCCGTCAAAGTTTGAAATTCTACCTGTCATTGTTAGAGATAGGGGATGACATTTGTTGGGAAAATCTTCAAAACTAATATTTCCATTTTTAGTGACATTTAATTATAGCCACGTTAGTAAATGTGCATGCGCGATCGACTTTCACAGTGCATGCGCAGTAGACACGGGACGCTCTATTTTTAACATCTGCCCGTATAGCAAACCAGACTATCTCTATATTACTGATTGCAACGTTAACCATATTAGACACGATTTCTATTTTCTTTTTTTTTTAAACAACCTTCGATGAGTTAGAGAGTAGTCGGTGGATTTGAGAAAAGGGAAGAGAAGGGGGGAGGCGATCTATGTCTGCCCAGACAATTATTGCGACATTTACCGTGTTAGACACGTACGATTTCTATTATTGTGCCGTTTTAATAATACTTAAAGTTTATATTTCTATTTTCTTTTTTTTCCATTTAGCCAAACTATGCCACAGCAACGTGTGGCCGGGTACAGCTAGTATTTTATATTTATTTATAGACTGTTGAAACTGGCAGCTGACTCTGGTCTGACCACTTGTATTACATTTGTCACATTAAATACTGTTCCAGGATGCTAGAGATTATTAACAGGGTAACTATGACTAAAGTGAAAACTATAATGGCTTCAAATCCAAATGGAGCTAGACTTTTTTTTTTAAAGTTACTTGACTTCTAAAGTCGACCTAGCCCTAAATGAAATGAATACAAGGTAAAGTCCTGGGAAATAAAGGCAGTCGGCATGATGCTGACCAAGTGCCATTTAGTCTCAATACACGTGAAGGTGAAGAAAATGATCTTTTTAAACTTTAAGATGGAGACAGGGTTAGCATATCAGTAAGCCCAGTGTTTGTCTCTGTGGGTGCTATGATCACATTGGGGGTGTTGAGTGTCAGAGGTTGCTTTATATTATAGGTCAGGTTTAGGGGAACTGCCAGCATTCTGAATTGTATTCCAGAGTCACGACCTAAGGTGGAGTGGTAGGAACCTCCTCTTTCCATTGCTGGCAATACCGCTCCCTCAACTGCCCCATAAGACAGCGCTGGATGGAGATCAAGATGAAATCAAGAACGGGAGAATTAAACTTCATTTCAATATCCTGGGTGAAGCCGGGTAAATAAATCCAGTAGTATTATAAATTTTAAAAATTATCCAAAGAACGTCATGTGATAATTTATAAATTTAATAATAAAATGGTAAGTTCTAAACGGAACGCAAATATATATGGTTGCTTTAAGGTTTGGCAAAAAACATAAAAGTTATAGCCAATAAACATATTAATTGTGCCATTTCAGCTCCTGTGTTTACTTGGGAACACGCGGCCATCTTGTTTCAGTCATCTTAAATTATACATTATTTGGAGTAGTTTCCATCACTAAAATGTGAATATCTCTACTTAGAATTGACATACAGGCTTCATTTAGATACCGGTAAACTTTTTTTTTTTACCTCTATCCAGCTGTCAGGGTTTAAAAGCAAAAAGCCCAATAAATAAATTTTGACTAAATACCCTAAAAAAACGGTAGTAAATTTTTGGCTCTCCTTCGAACTTCGTCCCCATATTATGGCGGCCAAACAAATACCCTAACAGGGCCTCAGTCGTGTGTGAAATGCAGACTTCCTCCGATGAACATATTGAGGCAAAACTAGGATTACTGTTTGTTGACAGTTTCGAGAAACGCAACAATACACAAGATAATAGCGACATGGCGGGGAGACACGCGCTCTGACGCAGGTTAGATAGTGTTCTTCCGATTAAACTCACCGCCGAGCGTAACCCCAGCGCCACACGGATGGGGGGCTAAACTAGATGGCTGGGACTCACGAGCAGCAGCTACTGCATCTCCTGCCACTTCCTCAAATTTATTTGCTCGAGAGTCCCAGTCATCTAGTTTCGCTCCCCCCCCCCCTCCGCGGCCCAGGAGATACTGTCGTCGGTGCAGCATATTTGCAGAAACAGGTCCGCAATTAACATATTGCTGAGACCCTGTTAGAGTTATTGTTTGCGCTCGATAATATTGGCCCGTTATTCGGAGGCGATCCTAGTTTTGCCGCGATTTGTTCTTCGGCAGGCACTCCGCATTTTATTTATACATGACTGAGGCTCTGTTAGGGTATTTGTTTAGCCGCCATAATATGGGGACGAAGTTTGAAGGAGAGCCAAATTTTCTTCTAAATAAATTAAATATTAATTTAATTTAATTCTAAAATAATTTAATATAAATCCGACTACAATTCTCTTTTTAGCATATAAAATCCCCAGATTAATGTTCTTCCTGCGTTCATCAGCGTGTATTTATACACGTGAATATAGGATCTATAAGTGTGGGCGACTCACGGAACTGGGGGTTGTTGGGTGATCTGTAAGCGTTAAATTTGGCGTCCAGGGCCAGCACTTGTTGCCACACGGCCGCCATTGTTGCTCTCTCTTATCGCTTACAATCGGGCAAATATCGTCAACGTCGTCCTGTTCCTTTCAATAGCCAAAGTTTTTGGTATTTTATACAGATTATAACTATAAAATACGCGCGTACATTGCATAGTTTAGCATTTCTTGTATTTAAAAGATATATTGGAGATTGTTGTTTCAGCGGCTGGCAGCGACCGGAGAGGTAAGCCCCGGCAGAGCAGACGACCAGGCGAAGCCATTTTTGTGTGAGGTCCTCGCATCTTCCACAGTCTCCGGGCCAGTTTCCTTCTCTCTCTGTCCACAAACATGCAGGCCATCAAGTGTGTGGTCGTCGGAGATGGGTCAGTTCTTCTTATATCGTCTCGTTATCGTGTATCAGATGATTATTTAAAAATTAAAGTTGTGGTTGTGCCGTGTCCGACTGGTATTTACTTCCTATTTCCTGATTGCTGGAGCACATTTCATGATCATCAGTTCATTTTGTTATTATTAATAGTGACACTGTTATACATTTTATAAACTAGTAGACACTTGTCTGTCACTCACATTGTATGTTATTATTGTTATACTAGTCTCTCGGCTCTTCGTACATTATTCTTTTTATTTACACTTCTAAGTAAATTTAGTATAAGTAACTGAATGAATGTAGGACATTTAAATTTAACTCTTTGGGTACTAAAAAAGAGGATGATGGTAATTATTACCGTAATAATAAAATTCATGAAAGTGTAAATGTTTGTTTGATGGGTGTTATCACATTACAACAGACTGTACTAATATAACTAATACAGCTGCTGTTGCTTGGTATTATCACATTACAACAGACTCTACGAATACAGCTGCTGTTGCTGGCCATAAGATGTTCAGCAATAATAATAATATTATTATAATACTCTTACCAAAAAAACAAAAAAGCCACTGTTTCAGTGGTTTGTGAACTGGATAGCAGCTGTCCTGCATTCATTCATGTTTTATGGTTGCCCGGCCCCTGGGTACCTGGACCTCAGAACCATGTAATATTGCCCTTTGACTACCCAAGGGTTCTGCAGTTTCATCAGTGCTTGTGTATACAGGTGTTGGAAGGATATTGACATTTACAGATGATGTTCTTGCAAACAAGAAGACAGATCTAAACATAGCAATAGAGTACAATTACAAAGGCATTAAACAGGCATCTGAGTTTAAATATTTGGGAACTAAATTTACTGAAGATGGGAAATTGGATAAAGAAATTAACATTAGAAGCAGTAACTGTAAAGCAAACCAAGTATTGGGACAGCTAGCCCCCCTCTTACAGCATAAGACAATCCCAATCAGCACAAAGAGACATCTTATTGAAAGCAAATTTATTCCAACTCTGTGCTACCAGTGCCAGACATGGTCACTCACAACAAACCATAAAAGAAAATTAGTAACCATGGAAATGAGATGTCTGAGAAGGGCTGTAGGAGTGACCATAAGAGATAAGATCAGGAATGAGATCATAAGAGAAAAAGTCGGCACAGAACCAATTCTAAATTACATACAAAGACAGCAAGTGAAATGGTTTGCTCACTTAGAGAGAATGCCTTGTGACACCATACCATACAAAGCATACATGGAAAGAGAAGAAGGACGTAGACCAAGAACAAGATGGAAGGATAACATCAGAGAAACTCTACAACAGCACGATGTGCCTATGGTCGAGGCGGCCAGAAGAGCTAGAAACAGAACCTTATATCTCCCTCGACACCCACAGCAGTAGAAGAGGAAGTGAAGAAGAAGAAGAAGAAGTTCTTGCATATAGGCAGGGGAGTGGCAAGCAACGGATAGCCCAAGAGCTATAGACAGCTGTGGACAAAGGGACAGACCGGTGTACTGAAGTGGGTGCTGTCATCAATTTAGAAAAGGCAGCGGTTTTTTGGCACTTTCTAGACAATATAATTGTAAGAACTAATGTTCCAAGCCTCAAACATCAAAAGAAAAAGCAGGTACCTGGTTTTCATTTTCGATAAAAGCCTGTCCTTTAAATATCATGTGGAGGCAGCTGAGGTGAAATGCCAATAAAAACTCAGTGCTCTCAAGATTATGGCAGCAATGGACATGGAACAAAGAATGTTGTTTACAATGTTCCAGCATGTGATCCTGTAATAGATTATGGACTTGGCATGCTTACCATATCAATGAGTCAGCTCATGAAACTTGAACGCTTACAGAATAAAGCCATGCGGGTAATTCTGAGATATACAAGAGATACCCTGGTAGTATGTATGCAATATATACTTGCACTGCCTACTATTGCAGAAAGTTCTGCAAGCAAAGCCATATCTCAGAGTTGCTGCAGATAAAAAAAACACCTTCTGTATGAAACCCTGGGTAGAGCGGAAAAGAGGGTCTTTGATGGCGCAGGCTGAAGACACAATTAGACATGTGTGCATTCTTGCTAAATTTGAGCGAGGAGAGGAGTGTGTCAAAGTGTCTGAGCAAGTTTCGGACTTGTATAGAGTTCTTATCTCTTTAGGTCGTGAGTGCAGGGGCTGGCCAGCTGGTACAGCACAATCAGAAGTTTAAGACTTTGATTCATGATAATTTGGGCCTGGGTGATGTGATTATCTATACAGATGGCTCTGTGTTAAGGGGCAGACAAAGTGCATTGGCCTATAAAATATAGGTCTAGCCCTATATACCCTATACGTCCGAAAAGCAGGGAGAGTTCCTTTACTTTTATTTTTTTTATGACATGCTTTTGGTTAGGCAGTGAGCCTTTGTTTTCCCCACATGGGGAAAATTGTGATGCAGAGTCTTGTCAATTCAAGCAGTGTACAGATCTGTATGTGGTAAAACGTTGAGTAAATTATATTTTTGCTTCAGTCTGCCTAAGAAACATAGTGGTCCGACACTGGCGGACATGAATTGGGACATCTTTTCCTCAGTTGTAATAATAAGTTTCTAATTGTAACATTTGTTTGATCATCCACAGTGCTGTTGGTAAAACTTGCCTGCTGATTAGTTACACAACAAATGCCTTCCCTGGAGAATATATCCCCACAGTGTGAGTACGTTTTCTGAGAATAGCATTGTTGGCTAGTTTAATCTTGGCTCACAGAAGATCGGGCACAGCAGACAGTTGACATACTCAATCTTGTCTCACAGAGGCTCCGGCACAGCAGACAGTTTAAAACATATATCAGAATGATGCAGGAAATATTGTTTGCCACCCATTTTGTTGGATGACAACTAAAACAACTTGAGAAATCTCTAGAAACAGAAACAAAGCAAGATGAAGATTCTTGCGGCGTCTTTTGTTACAGCACAGTGGGGGGGGGGGGGTCAGCTTTTGGGTTGATATGTAGTTAGAAATGAAGTCTGGTCACTGATGCCAGTTAGTAAGGCACTTGATGCTGTTATTTATAGCGAGAACTTGTTCTGGAACACACAGAATCCCAAGAGTTTATGGGCTAGTCCGGAATTAATTAATAATTCATACCTACCAAGACCAACATTATTTTTATGTTAACTGGGTGTTCTTCTTAATCGATGTATACTGCCTTAGAAGTAAAATTGTACTTGTCAGCATTCCTGTGACTGATATATCAGAAGTCATATTGTAGTTGTCAGCATTCCTGTGACTTATGTCATTTTATCATTGTTTCAGCTTTGACAATTACTCAGCAAATGTCATGGTGGATGGTAAACCCATCAACCTGGGACTGTGGGACACGGCAGGACAAGAGGACTATGACAGATTACGACCACTCTCCTACCCACAGACTGTAAGTTCTTACATGTCATTTGCTTTATTGTAATATTGTATTTACTGGTGAAACAATCTGGCTAGGAAGTGGAATGGCTTTCCCGGCTCTCGCCTTTTTTGTTATTTTTTCCCTAGGAGATCGTTGCTGTTGATAGAAATTTAAAGATGAGTAGTCGTCGTTATAAACATTGCAAAAGATAGAACATAATTAAATCATTGACCACAAGCCCTGTTTGACATAATAGCACATGATGATGATGATTGGGCTTCAGTTCTATTTACAATTCTGGGAGTCTTCTGTGTGTCCCCAGGAGGGCTAACCTAGGTAACACATGTAGGCAACAGGGTGGAGACATCAAACCTTTGCTGTAAACAGGCATGACACCATTTCCATAAGCAACAATGTACAGATATTAAAGTTTTGCTGTAAACAGACATGACACGATTTCCATGGGCAACAGTGTACAGATATCAAGCTTTACTGTAAACAGACATGACACCATTTCCATGGGCAACAGGGTGGAGACATGAGAACTTTGCTGTAAACAGACATGACACCATTTCCATGGGCAACTATGTACAGATATTAAAGTTTTGCTGTAAACGGGCATGACACATTTCCATGGGCAACAGTGTACAGATATCACAGCTTTACTGTAAACAGGCATGACACCATTTCCATGAGCAACAATGTACAGATATCAAGCTTTACTGTAAACAATCATGACACAATTTCTAAAACAATAAAACAAGACAACACATTGGAGTTTTTTTTTTTTTTAATTGTCTTATTTGGAGTGGACATTGATGATAATGACTCTCAGTTCCTCTATGCCATCTAAGAAAAGACAGAAGAATTCATAATATTTTTATTTGTTGCTACCAGCTGTTAGAACTGACTTGATAGCTGTGATAATTTTCTGGTTAATTTCAAGTGCTGATTAAAAAAAATAACCGGAAGACCGGCCACCGTCACAGTCAGCAGGATTCTGTTAAATTCTATCTCGGTGGTTTTGAAGAGCAGAATATAAAGTGCTGCTTCTTCTCTTCCTTGGAGTATTGGGCTGAGACATGGATGCTCTTTCTAATGCATTGTATTAGTTGATCTTCCTATACAGTGTAGCTGTTGTTATAAAACCATACTGGTTATTATTGGTATACAGTTGTAACTCATGTGTTTTGTTTGTCCCCAGGATGTGTTTCTTATATGCTTCTCCCTGATCAGTCCCACCAGCTTTGAGAATGTTCGAGCTAAGGTAAGAAGTGCTTGCTTGAATCTGAGCTGTGTCTTTGAGTTAACAATTGTTTGATTTTTGGTACAGATCTGTAACAATGGTCCATCTTGATTCACTTCAACCATTTGTTATTACTTCTGTGGTGCTTGACAGATTAACATCTCACTTGGAAAATCTGTGGCAGCCCAAGCTGATATATGAGCAACACAAAATATCCCCTTCTTCTTGTCAGTGGTGTTTGTCTGTGTGAAACATGCAGAGGGATTCAACAGTTATTCAGCTAATGTCATGGTGGATGGGAAACCCATCAACCTGGGACTGTGGGATACAGAATTCTGACATTCAGTTTGTTTTTGTTGCAGTGGTTCCCAGAAGTTAGCCACCACTGCCCCAACACACCCATCATCCTGGTGGGGACCAAGCTGGACTTGCGGGAAGACAAGGAGACCATTGAGAAACTGCGTGAGAAGAAGCTGTCCCCGATCACATACCCACAGGGACTGGCCATGGCCAAAGAGATTGGTGCCGTCAAATACCTGGAGTGTTCGGCTCTGACACAGAAAGGCCTCAAGAATGTATTTGATGAAGCCATCCGAGCTGTGCTGTGTCCAAAACCCAAGCCAAAGAAGAAGCCGAAATGCCTCATTTTGTAATCTGCTTCGTGCTGTGTCACATGTATGTGTACAGTTATTCAGAGTCAGTGTAGCTTCAGATAGTTACAATGTTCAGTATTTTCCACAGGTTCGTTTGCCCGTGAAATTGTTTATTGAAATAATTTACTGAATTATCCAACATAGGTGTATTGGTTGATGTTCATATATGTTGAACGCTGGCCAGTATATCCCCGGATATTTGACAATTTTTACTGCTATGGAACTTCAGGAATCGTGTCATTGAGAAATGAAACTGGTTTGTGGAATCGTAACACATTGTTTGGCTTGTCTCCAATAACTTATTTGATTACACTGACTTTGCATGATTTACACTAGCCTTTTTTTCTTCAAATTTGTAACTTTAGTTCCATAAACTCACATGTTATTTCTGTTTCAATTATCTGCCGCAACTACAAGTTTTGTAGCATCAGTCAGAGCTTTGCAAGCTATGATTTCTGCCTTCATCTTGTGTGTGTGTATGTTTGTACAGTGATGTTACCTCTCTGAGACCAGCCGAAAGCTTTTGGGCACTGATCAGAGAGGCTCAAGTCAACCATTCTGTTTTAGCCTCAGTTTATTTATTGCTAAATGTTCAAACAGGTTTCATACAGCTTCACGGTTTAAATGTGTCCAGCTTTTCCCTGTCTTGTCTATCAAATAACGTGTATAACTTGTATATTTTCTGCACAACTGTACATAATTTCTCAGTGTTTATCATGTTCCATTTGTTTTTGTTTTTAAATTATATCAAAACGAGCATGTTTTGTTGTGTGCAATCGCATCTGGGATTCTTAGCCAAATGTGCACAACATTTCAACTCTCATTCATTCAGAATTTAATTGAGGGGGTTTTTGCTGTATACATACATACTAATAGGTAAATACACACATTTACGATCACCTAGCTAGATGTAACTGTCTGCGACAGCATAAGTCCTGTGAGAGAGAGCTTTCACTGTATACGTACATGTGTGATCACCATACCAGGCTGGATGTAACTGATATGTCCACAACAACATAAGACCTGTGAGAGAGAGCTTTCATTGTATACGTACGTACATGTGTGATCACCATACCAGGCTGGATGTAACTGATATGTCTACAACATAAGACCTGTGAGAGAGAGCTTTCACTGTATACGTACATGTGTTTGTGATCGCCATACCAGGCTGGATGTAACTGATATGTCTACAACATAAGACCTGTGAGAGAGAGCTTTCACTGTATACGTACATGTGTTTGTGATCGCCATACCTGGCTGGATGTAACTGATTTGTCTAAAACATCCTTAACGAGAGAGAGAGAGACGTCATGTTTGCCTGTTAGCATTGTGATGTTTTTCATTTAATTTATGACCTATTGCATGGACAATATAATTGCATGCTGCATTAGTCGTCATAGATTATTTTAAAATAATTTCCCTTTTCTTCGAATAAAATGTTGAGTTGAAAATTATTGACATGTTGCTTGAACAAGCTGGAAAAGTTGCTTCTTGATGAGAGCTAGTCACAACAACAAAACTGGTGTTAAATCTGCATCTCTGAAACTCAGCTGTCAGTGAGTGGCTTAGAAACTGTTTCTAAATTGAGATTCTCTTGTTTTGTACTTGGCATGCAATTATGGTCTAGTGTTGACTTGGAACAAGCGAATCTTCATGTTGTAGACTCAGTACTTTGAGTGAAGCATTGAGAATCATTCGTATAATACTTTACAGCAGTGGGTCGAACGACCCTTTCACAGGGGTCGCCAAAGACCAATGGAAACCACACATTCACTGAAGTTATGAAGTAGCAGCAAAAATAATTGTGTGGTTAGATGTCGCCACAACATGTGGAACTGCCTTAAAGGGTCGCCACATTAGGATGGCTGAGAGCCACAGCTATACAGTGTAGCGTCTCCAGTAGTTGTACGACCACATTATATGTGTTGTAGCATTCTTGGAGAACTATACTGGACGAAAAGGCTACACATTATCTACTCTACAGCGTAGCATCCCAGGTTGTTGATGCTAGATCATCGTATTGGTGACACTGATTCCTCTTAGCTGCTTAGGGGTGGGAGGAAGAGAGAAGACTGACAGTCCAACCAGAATGGTAGTTGCTGCTGTTATGTCTTTCAGTATCAGAGAATTGGCTGTCTCCAGGCAGCCTGCACTCTTCATGTCATCACAGAGAGGTCTGCCATTGTTGGACGGCTGCTGTGATTTCTTGAATGTATGTGGTACTTGCAGTCCCCTTCTCAAGTTTGTATTTGTCTGGTGGCAATCTATTTCTGCATGCTCATTCACAAATGTAGGGACAGATCCTCATGTCTACTCAGGCCACATCTACAAGAACCTTCTTCACTAGGTCTGAGACTTCACTTTCTTCTCCTGTCTGTCCTATTCATGTTTGTTTAGACAGTATTCATTCCTCACCTGGCTTGTTGTCAGTTTACTTACACATACCTCAGTATTCATGCTTGGCTGTGGCAGGTACAACACACAAACTTGACCCAGGACAGGTACAGCACACAAACTTGACCCAGACAGATATAACACATGGACTTGACCCAGCTACAGCCCATGAACAGTTATTGCTATTTTCAGCTATCAGTTCTCTCTCTCTCTTTATTTCTGTCGTCCTAAAACCAGACATTGTAATTAACTGGCACCAAGTGCATACAGTTCCATGCCACACTTCAGCCTTGTTTGTCTCCTGGCTGGTATTGATCTGTACTTCCATTTCATTTTATTGATAAGATTAACGAAGGTAATAATGAGCTATTTGTTATTGACATGTAGAAAGGCCAGACTGTAATTATAATTATTTCATATTGTATTCATGATAACAGCATCTAAGCTACAATAAAGGCATTTTCTATTGGTAAACCTCTCGAGTTCACCTGATCAGCACACTGTGATGTGATATTTTCTTGCCTGGCTTTTTTTTGTGCTGCATGTTAAGCACTCCAGCTTCAGGGGGTTGCTGTATTAATTAGAGACATGAGTTTAGTTGATTCAAGAACCGACATCACAGCCTCGGGGCATTCCCATAAGCACTCCGTCCCCATCTTCAGCAGCCAGTGAAGAGTTCCGATACTAATTGTGCCAGTAGTATTCTTATGAAACGTCCGTCTTGCCTTCCTCTGAGCCTCGAGCATCTGCCAGAACCTGTCATCACTGCTTGCTGCATCAATCTCACCAGACTGGTTATCCATCTGCTCCTCCGAATTGTACACGCTCTCTCACAAGGCACTAACCACGTCTGCCTTATGCATCAGTATTGCACTAAGTTGTGCAGAGCCAGCCAGTCTGTCCGCCTGTTCATTTCCTAACATCTGCATTTCCCGGTTAAAAAAATCCAGACAATACTCCTCACCCGTGTCCTCCGGAGTGAAGCATGTCTGTCCTAGCCACCTGCACCTCCATTCTCAAGCTGGATGTTGTATCATATGCTAGGCTCTCCTGCACCAAACGTCGACCATTAACTTTTTTGCTAAGAAATTCCAAGCACTTCTTTTGCCTCTTGACACTGAACCATCTGTGTAAATAAATTCTCTGAGCGAGCATTATCTTGAATTATTTGCTGAATTTTCACCTGCCAACTAGTCTCTGCATTCCCGGCTCAGTGTGATTATGACCCTACACAAGTCTGTTCGGGTGGCACTTTGATCCACTCCTCTCCTAATGTTCTCAAAGATGCAAACCTGTCTGATTGTATCTTCTGCCTGAGCCATCCATGACTTCCCTCTTATCATTTGCTGCCCTTAACTGCCCAGAGCATCGTGCAAAGGGTGATCTGTGTCTGCTGCTACCCTGAGATACGACTTCGCCTGCAGCACCTTGCGCCTACCTGCAACAGTCGGCAAACCAAGGATGTATCGCAGACACGACACTGGGGTGTGTCTTGTGCAACCTAGTTGGAGACGTGTGAATGTTTTCATCTGAAACTGAATGGTCTACTCACCAGTGTATGGCAGAGTGGAGTCTAACCCATGTTTGGTGGGGATTATCTAATCTACCTCCATGCTGAAACTCAGACTACCAGACGTCTATCCACATATGGCAGTGGGGAGAGTCAAAACAATTTAACAATCAAATGTCCAACAATGGTACAAAGTACAACAATGGGACAAACAAGTGTACAACACTAGGACAAACACATGTACAACACTGGGACAAACAAACAAATGTACAACACTGGAACAAACAAACAAATGTACAACACTGGAACAAACAAACAAGTGTACAACACTAGGACAAACAAACATCCAACAATGGTACAAACAAATGTGCAACACTGAGACAAACAAACGTATAACAATGGGACAAACAAGTGTACAACACCGGGACAAACAAATGTACAACAATGGAACAAACAAATAACCAACAATGGTACAAACAAATAACCAACAATGGTACAAACAAGTGTACAACACTGGGACAAACAAACAAGTATGTCAGCCTTTTCTGAACACAGTACAATAAACACAGCACACTAAATAAACAGGTCATCTGAAAAAAGTCATGACAAATAAGTTAGTTGACACAATCCTCGTTGCACATGGAACCCTTCAGTCCATAAGTGCCCGGATCCCCTCAGTAAATCCTGCAGCATGAAGCAGCTGATGACTCCAGTTCTGTCTGGTTGACTATCTTGTCTCTGACTCCCTGCACGGTTCTCTTTTGTGCCAACTGCTGTTCTGGAAATCTGGTCACAGTTGCAGATTTCTGCTAGAACATTTATCAGCCAGGCCCATTGCTTATCCCACTTCCACAACAGCCTAATCTGCATGTCTACAAGCTTGCTCTGGCAGGAAAACAAGACAGCACCAACAAAAAGAGGAAATGACAGTCCAAGTAGCTGCAGTACGGTATTCACATGTTATGTTAACAAATGACAGAATGATGTAAAACATGTGACACGAGCACATGTACTGACCAGTATTGTGACATTAATCAGAAACAAATCGCTCCAAAAATAAAAAAGTTGTATGCATCTAGGCATCATATATGTATTC